AGTAAACTGGTAAAAATCCTTAAATCGTCCTGGTTCTTTCAATTCTTGTTCCATCTTGGGTATTTGAGCCTTTAGCTTTTCTATGCTGTCACATCTACATTATAAAATTAAGTTTATAAAAGGTTAACTTTTGTACTGTAAATTAAAAATTATTTATTCCCATGAGGGCTTATATTTACTTCCTAGCACGTCTTTAAAAAAAAAAATCATAGTGGGAATTTCATCTTTTTACAGTATATAAATATAAATATAAATATAAATATAAATATGGTAATACACCTTTAACCAAAAGGGTTATGTTTCAAGACCCCCAGTGGATGCTAAAACTTCAGACTGTACCAAACCCTGTATTATCCTTTTTTCCTACCTATGTTTTTATGATAACATTTAATTTTTAAATTGGGCACAGTAAAAAAAAAATAAGAATAAAAGAATCTTAACAACATACTATAATAAAAATTATGAGGTCTCTCTTTCAAAATATACTTTTTCACTTCAAGAAAGTACTTTATAGCTTCTCCTTTGGGCATATCCAAATTGCCAATATTACTCCTACATCTTGGAACCATCACGAAGGAGGTTACTAAATGCAAGCACTGGGATACAGATACACTTGAGTTGATTGATAATTAAGACAGCTATTAATCAACAGGCAGGTAGTAGACATGATGAGGACACACTGGATAAAGGGAAGACTCACATCCCAAGCAGGACAAAACAGGATGTCAGATTCATCACAGTACTTAGAAAAATGCAAAATTTATAAATTGTTCATTTCTGAACATCTCCGATTAATAATTTGGGACTAAACCTCAAAAAGCAAAACTAATGATAAGTAACTCTTCTATGAAATGAAAGATGAGGAGATTTGGAGTGACAAAATGTTAGAAATAATTGCTATTTTTTAAAAAAATGGGCTGCTACTTTTAATTACATAATTCACTAGACTATCAATAGGTTGACAGAAGTCATCCTCAGAGAGGAGAAGAGAAGAGACAGTGACCAGCCTTGCATTCCCCAGCACAATCACTCGTTGCATTAGACATTGATCAGACAGGATTTCACCACAGGTCTGGCTTCCATACTAACTGGAAACATGGCTTCTTGCTTAGGTGTGGAAGCATTTCTCTTAAAACCTGCTTCTTGCTACATACAAAGTACAATAATATCAGCCACCACTTCTAACTGAATTATCTCAAATCAACACTTTTTTTCTATATCCACAAAACATTCAACTTTCAAAAGTTGGAGGGGGTGGGGTTAAAAAAAAAAGTTGGAAAGGTGAGTACCAAGATTTACTTTTGTCATAAAATAGAAATATACATTTTGCAAAGAGGATATCTATATCTATATCTATATCTATATATATGTATATAAATGCCCACTTTCTCCTTTTCTAATCATTTTTGCTTTTATTTTCTCCCTATGTTCTTATGACATCTTTTAGATCATTAGTTGTAAAGTAAAATTTCAGACTGGAAGCTCATCATGTAAGAATTTCAACTGAAAATGAAAAAAATATTCTTTCCCATGGAAACTGACATTGAAGAGAAAAAAAAACCCATGCTCAGGACGATGTCTTTGGGTATAGGACAACCAGGCAATTTATTTATTCCCTTCTCAGCAATGGGGGAAGGAGGTGTGTTGCAAACATAGCTCAGAGGGCCTAGAACTCAAGATTCTCCTGACATGGGAGATCACAGATATGTATACCACCATGCCTAGCTTACCTGCCCTTCTTTGGGCAATGGGGGGCTGCAATTAGGGATTGCCCCTAGGACCATAAGTATGGTAAACAAATGCACTATCACTGAGCTACATGCCCAGCTCTTCTTTGAGACAGGGTCTAGCTAAATTACCCCTGCTGGCCTTGAACTTAAAAAATCCCCCATCTCAACCTCCCACATAGGTGAGATGATACCCATACTCCACCACACTCTTAATCCCACTGTTCTTTATCCTACTTTATAACAGTGGGCTACAAACCAACAGGCTTTATTTTTCTTGCCAGCTCATTCAACAGTAGGCTCTACCAAGAGGGGGCAATGAAAGGTGGGAAGAAGATACTTTTACCTCAGTTTCTATATAGCACAGCAGTTTTGGTGACAGCTCTCCCAGCTTCCCAGCAAGTGGCCTTTACCCAGTTTTTTATCACTGCAGTGACCCTGCTCCTGTAGTGGCCACACTTTTTCCCTCTCGATCAATCACTATCTTGCTAGGGTCTCTTCAGTCTCTAAATTCCTTTCTGGTATATTCACTTCACTCAGGCCAGTGGTGGCAATAGCTACTACTAGATACTCTGTTACACTTTAGAGTTTTCTTTTACATAGTAAAACAGTTATTTTAACTTTCCCTGCTCTAAGAATTGATGTAGTTTTGTGTCTTGACTGGACCCTGATGATAATGGCCCCCAGGTTCACAAAGCAGAATGCCCAGGTTCTATTCTGACACCAATGTTAGCTCTTTCTGTCATTTCTTTGTACCTTAGTTTGCTCATCTCTAAAATGACACACCCATTACACAGTTTTTGTGAAGGAAATAGGTGACGTATTTATCACTGTTGCTGAAATAAAATATTCAAATCATATTACTTATTATTCAATACTAGTCCACTAAAAATGAAAGGGCAGCCTGCTACCTACCCAAAAACGAGTATTTTGCAGTCTCAATAAATAAATACAACTAGACGTCATAAGTAAAATCTCCACCCATGACTTTTCCATCTATTCATCAAAAGTCATTCAGGTAATCAAGCTGTCAAAGCATAAACAGAAGAAAATTCAACGAAATACAGCTTCTAAGGTACCTTCTAGTTTTTATTTATTTATTTATTTTTATTTTGGGGGAACTAGGGATTGCACTCAGGCCCTTGTGCTTGCCAGGCAAGCAGTTATTCTACTGAGCTATCTCCCTGGCCCCATTCACATTCACCTTTCCAGTTTTTAAATTCTAGGATTTTGTAAATTCAGAGTTCATGGCCTCACATTAGGAAATAACTTACAACCTTGCTCATTTTTTTTTTTGTTCATTTCATTATGAATGCATGATGGTTTTAATATTAGTGAATCAGAAACAAACGAAAATGAAAACACAATGTAGAGTAAGCTATAGATAACTTGACAGCCACAGGAAACTCATTTCTATTTATACTAATGTTTGTGGGCCACTAATCTTAAATTTACAAACTGATGACAAGCCAGACATGGTGGCACATGCCTATAATTCCAGCACGCTGAGAGGTTAAGGTAGAAGGATCACAAGTTAGACCTTGACTAGGGCAACTTAGGGATACCCTGCCTCAAAATTAAAAAATAAAAATAAAAGAGCAAGAGAAGTAGATCATCACCAAAGACCTGGTTTCAATCCTCAGCACTGGGGGGAAAAACTGTAACTCAGTTCCACAACTCTCGGGGCACTATGTCTAACTTCTCATGGCAGTTATATACTCACCCTAATTCTGTCATGCCATCCATGAACTCCGGCTTGGAGAACTCACATTGTGTTGCTGCTCTGAACTTCCATGCAATGATCAAAACACTAATGCTGGCTGGATCAAGTGCCAGGTCATCACAGAATTGCTGTATGCCATCTATTCCAATTTTATTTTCATCTTGAGGATCTTTAAAAGCAACAAGGCAGCATCAAATTAGTGCCATATTTTATTATGCTACATTCCTAAAACTGAATAGGTAATACTTCACTTTCCGTTTTTAAAATATCACAATATACCAAAGACACAGACCTACTCTAATGGATATTTTTCCTATATGCTAATGAAAGCCACTTTGCCCACAAGTAACACTACTAAAGATTACAGGAAGGTATATATCCATGTGAAAATTTCCCCAGACTTAAACACACTGAGAAAAGCAGACATGATCATGTAAAGGGACAAGGGATTATGACTCAAAACATCCAGATTCTGTTTACAAAGGCATTCTAAATTAACAGTATTATGTATAGAAATCTCATTTAGTCCTGCTCCTCATGCTGAAGATCAAACCAAGTGCTTCGCACGCTAGGCAAGTACTGGACCACTGAGCAACATTCTCAGCTCAGAATTTTTTCTTAAACCAGGTTCACTTTTACCATAACAATCATTTCTTAAGAGTTTCAGAAAAACCAAAAACTATACAATTCTATCTTAAGATAAGCCTCTATATGTGTTGTTTAAAGGAAAAAAATCTGACAAAAATTTCAAAATAATGATATGTACAAGGAAAAAGAAGAAGTGGATGCTACTATAAAATGAGTAGCTAATACCTTTCTAAAAGTTATCTGGGCTGGGGAGATAGCTCAAAGGCACACTACCTGCCTGGCAAGTGCAAGGTCCTGATTTCAATTCCCAGTACCAAAATAAATAAATAAAAGTTATCTGGCAATAACTAGCAATAGGGGCCGGGGAGATGGCTCAGTGGAATAAGCGCTTCCCTGGCAAGCGCAAGGGCCTGAGTTCAATCCCCAGTTCCAAAAAAAAAAAAAAACTCTAGCAATAAAAATAACTTTTGGAGCATGAATTACACAAACAATTTTCAGGGAAAATACAGTATATAGACACACATTTATATAAACAAAAAATATGGAAGCAGCCACATCCTCTGTTAAATATTGGTTACTAAATTCAGTAAATAAATAAAAAGGTAGAAAAGCTATTAATGTTTTGCTTGGTCATGATTACATACTGGTTTGTTATAATGGTACTAGGATTTTTTTTTTTTTTTTTTTTTTTTTTTTGGTCTTTTTGAGTCAGGGTCTCACTGGGTAGTTCAGGTTAGCCATGAGCTTACTTTGTAGCCGAGGCTGGTCTCAAACTTGGAATATTCCTCCTGCCTCAGCCTCCTAAGTGCTGGGATGACAGGCATGTGCCACCATGCCCAGCTTGAAACCAGGAATTAACCCAGAGCCTCACAGATGCTACAAGTGCTCTATCTCTAACCTACATCCACAGCCATTTTTTATGTTTTGTTTTGTTTTGAGCCTAGGGGTCTTTCTTTTTTTTTTTTTTTAATGTTAGCTGAAGTTTTTTATTAACTCATAATTACTTGTCTCCTGGTTTGTTGAAGCAGTAAGTCAGACAACACTTGCCACAATAATGTCTGTCAAAGTGGCTGGCCATAAAAACTCCTGCACCACATTCATCTGAGGGGCACTCTCGACGAAGACGACTAATTTTGCCATTTTCATCCACCTTATAGTATTTTAGGACAGCCAACTTAACCTTCTTTCTCTTATGCTTATTCTTCTTGGGAGTGGTATAAGACTTCTTCTTCCTTTTCTTAGCACCACCACGGAGTCTCAACACAAGATGAAGAGTAGACTCCTTTTGAATGTTGTAATCAGACAAGGTACGTCCATCTTCCAGCTGCTTACCAGCAAAGATCAGCCTTTGCTGATCAGGAGGAATTCCTTCCTTATCCTGGATCTTGGCCTTTACATTTTCTATAGTGTCCGAGGGTTCAACCTCGAGCGTGATGGTCTTCCCCGTAAGGGTTTTCACGAAAATCTGCATCTTGGCGGCGGCTCCACCACAGATGGTGGATCCGAAAGCTAGGGGTCTTTCTAAATCAGGGTTTGGCTAATTTACCCAAGCTGGCCTCAAATTTAACAGTTTTTCTGCAATAGCCTCCAAATATCTAGAGTTATAGTCATGGGCCACTCATTTGGTTTTGCTTAATTTTTAAAATATGTATTAGCCAGGCATGGTGGCTGCCTAGAATCCTAGAACTTAGAAGGGTGAAGCAGAAGGATCTCTGAAAGTTTGAGGCCAGCCTGGACTACATGAGGTCAAGGGCAGCCTGAACTATACAGTGAGACCCTGTCTCAAAAATTAAGAAAAAAAGAAATAGTAGTTTAGCTTATTCTATAATTCCTTCAAAAGTCATTATTCAAATTTTATTAAACTCTGGTATAGCAGGGCCAGGCATGGTGGTTCACTCCTATAATCTGAGCACTCAGGAGGCTGAGGCAGGAGGATCACCAGGAGTCTGAGACCACACTAGACTCCAAAGAGAGTTTAGGGTCAGCCTGAACTACATAGTGAAATCTTGTCTCAGAAAAGAATAGAAAATAAAATAAAATAAAACTAGTTCAGCAGAGTTTCACAGAATTCAGGGAAGGTAGCCAAGCATGGCTCACCTACAATCCCAGCATCTGGGGAGGCTGGGACAGAAATATCACCAAATTCAAGCTCACCCTGGGAAAGAAGGAAACCTTGTCTTAAAAAGTAAATATAGGGCTGGGAATGTAGCTCAGTGCAAAGTCCCTGGGTTTGATCCCCAGTATCATCAGGAGAGGGGGTCAGACAGGGGCGATGAGACCACCACTAGTAGCTGAATCTCCTAGTCTGAAGTGATTTTAGTGAAAAAAAGGATAGAATATATCTTCTTAGATATCCTGAAATAATTCTAGATCCATAGAGCTCTGCAGGACATAATCACCCAGCTTATTTTTCTATGTAGTATTTATTTTTTCACAAGCCCAGAACTTTAGAAAGCCTAGTTCAGAATATTTAAAGTCACAAGCAAGCACTCACCTTTGTATCTACTGTATAGTTGTTCTAACTTCTTCCTGTCCAATGATCCTTTTACACTCTCTCGTATATAAAGTTCAGGATTTTGGAAAAAATTATCTGTTGCAACATCTAACTTCCAGTCATTTTGAGAAAGACAACTTACAGCAGTTTTTTCACTAGATTGTGTGAAGATCATAAACTGTCGAACTTTATCCTTCTGCGATGATTTCAACTTGTTCTATTGAAACCAGAAAATAAACTGAAACTCTATGTAAAATCACATAAGACTAAGTTTTTCTATATAGCTGGTTAATCATTCTCAGTAATTTTTTTCATAAAACATTAGAACATTTTATCTTAAGGCTTGATATATTAATATCTTGATATATTAATAATCAGAAATATAATTTTTCTAAAAAATCTTCCACCCAAAATTTAGTAGTTTTGAAAAAAGAAATTACCAGAGCTAAGGATGCTCACCTGCCCTGCATTTCTCCCAAGGGGAGCGGCCCTGAGAGCAGGTGCAGCATAAATGCTCTAAAGGGAAGCACTGCTACTCTCACAGCCCTGACCAAGCACAAAGCTCCAAAGGGCAGGCAAAGGAGGGGGAGGGGAGAAGTGGCACCATTTAGCCAGTCAGTCAAAGGAGCCTGGAAAACAATGAGATTAACACATGTTTGTTGCAGTCCTAACATTTTCTATAAAAGATCCCTAAGGCTATATTACATTATCTGCATTTTTTCTTGCCCTTTTTTCTTTTCTTTCTTTTTTTTTTTTTTGTCATTTTGAGACAGGGTTTCACTGTGCAGTTCAGGTTGGCCTTAAACTCACTTTGTAGCCCACGCTGACCTTGAACTTGCAGCAATCCTCCTGGCTCAGCCTCCCAAATGCTGGGATAATAGGTATGTACCACCATGCCCAGTCTATATGGGGTGTGTGTATGTGTGTGTGTTGCTGGGGGTTGTACCCAGGACTTTATGCACACAAGTCAAGAGCTCTGCTACTGAGCCACATTCTCAGCCCTTTTCTGCCACTTTTAACAAATAAAAGAAAGGCAACAAAATATGAATATCTTACATTTCTCCTGGTGGTATTCACAAACTATGTAATTATCACTATTTTTTAGGTAGAATTATCCTCTGCTCTTCCACTGAAGAAATCATCCCGGAGACGACCCAGGTGGCGGGATCCTGAACAGACCCAGAGCGCAGGCCCGGTGAGGGAGTGAGATGATCCAGGCCGCGGGATCCTGAACAGACCCAGAGTGCAGGCCCTGTGAGTGAGTGAGACGACCTGGGCCGCAGGATCCTGAACAGACCCAGAGTGAGGCCCGGCGAGTGAATGAGACGACCGGCGAGTGAGTGAGACGACCAGTGCCCGGGGATCCTCATTTGATCCAGGCTGCATGCAGGCCCAGCATGGAACCCTTCAGCAGAACACCCTGCAAAGAGGCTAGAGGCAAGACCCACCCAGCTGATTCAGGAGCAGAACATCTTGCCAGAGAGACACAAAGGGTTCAACTCTAATGCCTGCA